TTAAAGGGTATTTGGATTGATTTTTAAGCTAGTCAAATCAACTTTCAAACTTTTTTTAGCTTTTTCAGTGTTTGTCAGTCAAAAAGTGTTTAAAATAAGTTAAAAACTGTTTTTTGACTTAAAAGCTATTTCTTCAATCAAGATGTTGAAACGCGAGGTGCTAAAGTATTTAGTTAAACCTGTTCAAGCAAAAGGCTTCTTAGAATCCATTAATCAAATAGTTATTCAACTATTGATCACTCCTCTTTTGCTTTATTTATGGATTTACTTATAGAATAAACACATTTTTTTATAAAGAAAATATTAGTTTCAGGCATATATAAATAAAAAATAAAAATAAATATAGTTCGCAGTCTCCAACAACAAACTATAAGAAAATATTTTTTATGATTAAGGCAGCGTCGCTTGAAATATTTTTGGCTTAAACAAGCCAAAGACAATCTTTTTGACTTTTTGGCTTAAAAGCTATTTCTCCAATCAAATATTGAAACGCGAGGTGCTAAAGTATTTAGTAAAACCTGTTCAAGCAAAAGGTTTCTTAGAATCCATTAATCAAATAGTTATTCAACTATTGATCACTCCTCTTTTGCTTTATTTATGAATTTACTTATAGAATAAACACATATTTTTTTATAAAGAAAATATTAGTTTCAGGCATATATAAATAAAAAATAAAAATAAATATAGTTCGCAGTCTCCAACAACAAACTGTAAGAAAATATTTTTTGTGATTAAGGCAGCGTCGCTTGAACTTTGAACCTGGTAAAAAGGATTAAGCGTCACTGTAAATATAACCTGGTTCAAGTCCGGAGTCGAATCCCACATGGAACTAACCTATTTACTATAACTTTAAATAATGCTAATGATAAGCTCAGACAACTTCCGGATGCAAGAGTTTTATGAATAATCAGTGAAATTTATTCACTAAGGAAAAATGGCAATAAAATTAGCAATAATCAAGACTAAAATTGAATTCAAAGGGTAAAAGGATCTAGGGCTATTGATTTCCCCAATTACCGGATTAATTCTTAACTCTTTAGCTATAATCTCGTCGTAATACTCTATGAGGATTATGAGTTCCGGGCTATCGTAATTACCTCTCGATCAATTACGATAATTTAATAGAAGCATTTTCTCGAACTGCTCTAGTTAGCAATTTATGCAACTCAGAATTATCCCTCCAAAGCTTCGTTATTTCTAACCCCACTTTTAAATTCAAGTAATTAATCTCTTAACTTACCCAAAAGTGGTGTTGTTCAACAACAATCTAACCAAGTGTTCTTTCTCAAGTAACACAAGATAACTAGACACGATTAATCGAGGGCCCTTCTAATTAACCACAATATAATACGTACTTGAACAATCATAGAACAAACATGGCTCAATTATAACAAAATAGAGTCATGACTTCATCCAACAATTGGTTCCATCAACCCTAGATAATAGATTTAGCTACTCATACTAATGGAAAATAAATCACTAAAATAATTCATAATCAACAAATAGAAGTATGAAGAAGAAGATGAAAACTCTTAAGAAATTATCCGTCTTTTCTCCCTCGTTCTTGCCTCTAAAATCTTCTAAAACCAGCTATATATCACTTTTGGGCGAGTTTAGGTTTCATATAGGTTTAGGTTAGTCGCCTAAAAAATTACATAATTAACCCTGCGTGTTTAGCTTTTGTCCGCCCGTCCGCGGCCGCGGATTCGACCGCGGATTTTCACTGCCTCATTGCCTTGAGTTCGCGGACCAATTCGCGGCCTACTTCGCGGCCGCACACTTGGAGAGGTCGTATCGCTTGCTTTTCTCGCTCTTTTTCGACCGGACTAACTTTCGATTGGCCTTTCACACTCCATGTTGACTCCAAAACACTCGTTAGCTCCCTCCTAGCTCGGAGTAGCTCCTGCAAAGCATCAAATTCTTAATTAGAGCATTTTGTTATCTTTTAGCATTCAAATATCAATAAAGTGCGGCTAAATTAGAGTGTAAGTAGTGTCTAAATTGAATAAATATAGCCTACTATCACGTGCTGCGATGTACCTTGTTTTGATTAGTAATACTTTTTAAATCACATAAATATTATATTAAAAATTATATTTGAGTTATAAAAAAGAGTTTAAACACCTAAAATAGAGGAGTAAAATAAGTGAGCACAGTAAAAGCCTTAAGTAGAACAATTTGCTTATATCAATAATTTTGATAATAACAAAAAACCTCAAAACTTTATTTACACAATTGCGAAGGAAAGAGAATAAAAGCCTTGAAGGATATGTTCTATGCATTTAATTAAAAAAATTTATTTAAAATAGAGATATATTTATGATATACATTATATATGTTTGAAAACTTTACTCAATTTTGTTTTCAATATTATATATGCCTGAAGTACTTTTATTTTATGTTAGAAATAATGATAAAGAGTTGAGCTAAATAAAAAGAATGCACATTTATATCGCCGACCCTAGCTTGCTTGGCATTGATACATAGTAATAGTTATTGTTGTATCATATATGTCTGAAAACTATTTTTTTTACTTTATAAATAAAATTTATTTATTCTATAGGTAAGTCTATAATATAAAGTGAATAGAGAAAACACCATAATATTACAAAACTTTTTAAAAAAAATATTGACAATTTAAAGGATAAAATAGGTATTTGGCCACCGAAAATCTGATAAATCTATTTGAGTGATTTTCTGGGTGCTATAGAAATAGTTATGTGACTGTTTTATTACAAGCAAAAGAAATATGACTTTACTAGATAATTTTAAATAATTTGGTGACAATTTGAATAACGGACTCGTAAAATTAACTAAGGGCCTAAGGCTACCACCATGTAGTTGCATCTTCCTGATTTGCTACTTCTTTTTAAAGAATGGCAGAATAGCCTAGTAGATTCTTGTACTTGTTTCGATTTGTCATCCCGGTCCCTGTATTCATGAAGTTTCATCCAGATACTTCTAGCTGTTAAAATATACTATTTTAAACCCTTTGACGTGTTGCTCAATCATGCTAATATTAATATCCACATCAAATAAAATATGCCAAATCATTTTTTTAGTCTTACAAAAAAAAAAAATTAAAAACGCAGAATGGCCACTATTTCACCTTCTTCACCTTCCAATACCACTGTAATACGTTCAGACCTTCCCCATTAAAACCTCGCCATTGAACAACTACAACTGAGATTCTAGCAAACATCAAAAACTTATTTTTTCCCCTATCTCTACTTCATTAGAAACAAAGAATAAAAGGGGGATTTGTGAATATCCGCTATAATTTTTTGAGGGATTAAAAGCGGAAGAGGAAACAATTGAAGTTGCACTATAAAATCTAATAATTTTCACAAACCAAGCAAGATTTGGGCACCCACACACCATTATAAATCAGATTCGGACACCCATTTTAGTATTTCTCTTCCGATTTGATTGAACTACTAGGATTGTTTTATTTTCTATTACATAGGTGTGATACAGAAGAAAATTATGGTGGTCATCGGTGGTCTCCACGCCGGTGATGGTTCGAACTTTTTCGGTGTGTTCTTTGCCCTTGATGGTTCGAAGATTTCAGCTATAACCAGTGATGAATTTTCGACTAGCTCCGATGATATTCCTAATCTTCTTGATATTTTTTTGGATGGAGTTCCTGTTAAGAACTAATGATTATTCTAACAATTTTGCCTAAGAAAATTATGATGATTTTCTATCTTTAACTCTGATGAAAAGAAGAAGTTATGGCAATGGCACCAACGAAGAGAACCATGGGTTCTTCGCTGGTCTTATTGTATTTTTTTCTTTTTTCTCTGATTTTAGTCATTTTCTGCAGAATCCTTGTATTCACACTCTTTCTGGGCGTGTGTACCAATCGTTTTATCCACCTTAGCCTTATTTATGCCACATAAGCTTCATAGAGTTTTAAAATAATATGTTTTAATAACTATAAATGTCTATATGAAACTTTATGAATTACAAAGACCGAAAATGACAAATCAAAATAACTACAGGAGTTTAGTAGGCTATTCTGCCTTAAAGAATTGGAATAGTCAGAAGATGGAGTGCAAGTGATGATTATGTTATATATGGCAAAATCTATACAGTGGTCTAAGAAAAAGCAATTGTCTAAAATGCCCCGCTTTGTCTCTATAAGCCAGCTTGGGCTGCCTAATTTGGATTTGATTGAATGAATTGGACTACCATTGATAAATATGGGTCAAGCCCAATGGGACTCAAAAAAATTGGTCTATGAGATTCTCGAGAAACTACCAGTTATGGCAGCCCATAAAAAAATTAATAAATTTATAAAATATTATCAATATTAGCCAAATACTAAATATTAGTCAATTAGCTATTTGTAACAAAAAAATATAAATTCTTACTTTCTTTTGATTAGGTGTTGTTGGAATAGATTGAGTACATTTTAAAGAGTTTGAATCTCAGTTTTGAGATGATTTTGGTGGAGTTTTAAGGTAGTTTGAATTGAAAATTCGAAGTAAAAGATGAATATGGAAAAAGATATTATGTGTATCACACTGTGTATCACATATGCATGATATGTGTATCAGATATGTATCACATTTATATCCATGTATACTTATGAGATGCATGCGTGTTACAAGTTTGATACATGTATCGTAGAAGAATTTGTTAAATTCGATTTCAACTACGAATTTTGACTCAAACTTGTCTAAATCACATCCAATCTTCCTATAAATTTTGTATATTGAATCATCTATATGTTTTCAATGAATTTCAACCATACCCATTGAAAAAGTCTATTTTTGCTTAGGTTTTTGGAATCTTGTATAACTTTTTCTTTATGTTTCATCACCTTGTTTGTTACCTCATTCATTAAAATTTCTTACCGTCTTGCATCATATATTGTTGACTGGTAAATCTGTAGAGTTAGTGAAAATTCTCGAGAAAAGAAAGATTAATATAGCTTGTGTACATGAGACTGGGTGGGTAGGAGATAATGAGCGGGATGTGGACAGGCTCTAATTATGGTATTCTGGGAGGGCGGGGGCAGGAACGGGGTAGGTATCTTGGTTGATAAGGACCTCCGTGAACTAGTGGTGGAGGTTAGGAGGGTGAATGACATGCTGATGACTATTAAGCTAGTTGTTGGAGGTTTTACTTTGAACATCATCAGTGCGTACGCACCCCAAGCAGGCTTGGATGAGGAAGTCAAGAGGCGTTTCTGGGAGGTTTTGGATGAGATGGTGCGTGCTATCCCGCATACCGAGAAGCTTTTCATAGTAGGAGATTTCAACGGCTATATAAGAGCGACGTCTGGGGGGTATGATGATGTGCACGGTGGTTTTGGTTTAGTAGATAGAAATGGAGGAGGAACATCTCTGCTAGTCTTTGCTAGAGCATTTGATTTGGTGATAGCAAACTCGAGTTTCCCTAAGACGAGGAAGCACTTGGTCACCCTTCGGAGTTCGGTGGTCGAGACTCAGATTGATTATTTACTCTGCAGGAAGTACGATAGAAGTCTTTGAATGGATTGCAAGGTCATCCCGAGTGAGAACCTCTCGACCCTTTATGGACTCCTGGTCATGGACCTTGAGATCACGATGAAGAGAGCGATGTATAGCCAACATAGGATCAAGTGGGGAGCCTTGACGAAAGTTAAAGCGCAAGAGTTGGGGGTCAAGCTGATGACTGTGGTGGCTTGGAGGAGCAGTGGGGACGCAAGCGCTATGTGGACCACGACTGCGCAATGCACTAGAGAAACCGCGAGAGAGATATTAGGGGTCTCAAAGGATTACTCTGGTGGTCACAAAGGAGACTGGTAGTGGAATGGAGAGGTACAAGGAAAAGTGGAAACCAAGAAAATGATATATCTAAAGAAAATGAAAAGTGTAGACGAGGAGGAGAAGAGGGCGAATAGGGAGCAATATAAGTTGGCTAAGAAAGAGGCAAAGCTAGCAGTTATGGAGGCCAAGACTGCAGCTTTTAGTCATTTGTATGAGGAACTCGAAGGCCGAGGTCCGGATAAGAAGTTGTTCAGGTTATCCAAGGCGCGAGAAAGGAAGGCTCGTGATATGGACCAAGTGAAGTACATCAAGGACGAAAAAGGTAGAGTTTTGTTGGATGAGGGGCTTATCCGTCAGAGATGGCAGACCTGCTTTCATAGTCTCTTGAACGAGGAGGGGGATAAGACATTGTACTAGGTGATTTGGAACTCTCTGGGAGTCGTTATGACTTTAAGTATTGTAGGCAGATTAGATTTTATAAAGTAAAAGGGGCTATGCGTAAGATGAGCAGGGGCAAAGCGACGGGGCCAGATGAAATCCCAGTGGAGTTTTGGAAGAGTGCAGACAAGGCAGGCTTGGAGTGGCTCACTATATTATTTAATGTCATTTTTAGAATGAAGAAGATGTCCGAAGAGTGGAAGTGGAGCACAATGGTTCCTGTATACAACAATAAGAGGGATATCCAAAATTATAATAACTATCGGGGTATCAAGCTGCTTAGCCATACTATGAAAGTCTGGAAGAGAGTGGTAGAGCTAAGGGTGAGTAGGAGTGTGTCTATTTCCAAGAACCAGTTCAGGTTTATGCCATGGCGTTTGACTACAGAAGCCATCCACCTTGTTAGGAGATTGATGGAGTAGTATAGGGAGAGGAAGAAGGACTTGCATATGGTGTTCATCGACTTGGAAAAGACGTACGACAAAGTTTCAAGGGAGGTTTTGTGGAGATATTTAGAGGCTAGAGGTGTACTTGTTGCCTACGTTAGGGTGATTAAGGACATGTATGATGGAGCAAAGAACCGAGAGAGGACGGTGGGTGGGGACTCGGACCATTTTCCATTTATGATGGGGTTGCATCAGGGGTTGGTACTCAGCCCTTTTTTGTTTGCCCTGGCGATGGATGTACTGACGCGCCACATCCAAGGGGAGATGCCGTGGTGCATGCTATTTGTAGATGATATTGTATTGATTGACGAGATGCGAGGCGGTGTGAACGCGCAGTTAGAGGTATGGAGGCAGATCCTGGAGTCTAAAGGTTTCAAGTTGAGCAGGAGCAAGACAGAACACTTGGAATGTAAGTTCAGTGGTGAGACTCGGGAGGGGGAGGGGGGAAGGGGGATGAGGCTAGACTCGTAGGTCATCCCTAGGAGATGAAGTTTTAAGTACCTTGGATCCATTATTCAGGGGGATGGGGAGATTGATGAAGATGTCACACATCGTATTAGGACAGGATGGATGAAATGGATACTCGCTTCCGGTGTTTTGTGTGACAAGAATGTGCCACCGAAACTTAAAGGTAAGTTCTACAGAGTGGTGGTCAGACCGACAATGTTGTGTGGGGATGAGTGTTGGCCAGCCAAGATCGCTCATGTCCAAAATATGAAGATAGCAAAGATGGGGGTGTTGAGGTGGATGTGCGGGCACACCAGGTTAGATAGGATTAGAAATGAGGTTATTCGCGATAAGGTGGGTGTGGCCCCTATTGAGGACAAGATGTAGGAAGCGCGACTTAGGTGGTTTGGTCATGTGAGGAGGAGGAGCACTGACGCCCCGATGAGAAGGTGTGAGAGATTGACATTGGAGGGCCTACGAAGAGGTAGAGGTAAGCCAAAGAAGAGGCGGGGGAGAGGTAATTAAGCAAGACATGACGCAACTTCAGCTAATCGAGGACATGACCCTTGATATGAAGGTATGAAGGTCGAGGATTAGGGTGATAGAATAGGTAGTTTAGAGTGTTCATAACAATAGTCTTGGCACGCAGTCTCGCTTTCTGTTGATAATAGGTTTTTATGACTAACCATTATTTTCTTTCATTGTTGATCACCTTACTATCTTGTTGTCTTTATTATGCTTTTATATGGCTTTTGGTGCTATCCCTTCTTGTCTATATTTTCATTAATATGGTGCTTATGCTTTCCCGAGGGTCTATTGGAAACAACATCTCTATCCTCACAAGGTAGGGGTAAGATCTGCGTACACACTATCCTCCCCAGAGCCCACAGTGTGGGATAATACTAGGTATGTTGTTGTTGTTGGTGGTGCATCTTATATTGTTGATCACATTTAAAAATATGAAAAGAGATCTTTGCGTATGATTTTTGGAGGGAAAAAATCCTTATTTATCTAGATTTTTAATTTTTGTATGTGCTCGACTATTTTTTGTAAGTTTATGATTAATTACTAGAGATCAGTAAGTTTAAGCTTATTTTGGACATTTCCGTAAGATTCTCGACATTCTCATCTCTAAATTAGGAATAGATAAAATCCAAATGGACGAAAAGTTAATGATTTTAACCAAGTCAAGAATAGTTTTATAGCATTAAGATCAAGTAACCATATTCCCAAGCAATGAAGAGATAGTTAAATACCACTTGTGAACATAGATCCAAGGTGGCTAGTCGAACAATCATTATTTTATTTTTCATGTTACCATATCAAATTTGCTATAGGAAAATTACTATTGTATGTCGACATAATCTGATGCCTAATGGTATAAAAAAATTGTACATCATCAGTCCATAGAAGTTAATGACAAGTGAATTTATTCTCCAACATTAACAAGCTCAAAATCATCAAAATAGAATGAGAAAATCCTTTGCAGACAACAATTTGAAATCAAAATGTAATACAGAAGTTTTACATGCTTATTCCCACGATATTCATTCCACCTGAAATTAATTCTTGTGCAAATTCAACTAATCCAATTGTAGATTCACGGACGAAATTTGCAGGCAGTTTTGAACTGCTCAGCTTCTGCTTTATTATCTCCTTTAAACTCATTATCCACCCATCCTGAGTATCCTCCTTCCAAATTTCTTACATCCTTGTACCCCTACACTCAATAACATAGCACTACTATATTTTAAGGAATTTTTTTTTAAACGGCAGGCTAAATTCTGATTGAGAAATTTAACTTTCTGTTATTAAAGGGGAAAGTGCTCACTAACCGCATTAAGAAGATCGACACATGCTCGACGTCCTCTCCCTCCACTGTTGCACCCCTTCAAAATTTTCCCTTTTGTATTTACACGATTTGATTATTTAAAAGGTAATTATAGGTAGCTCTAATTAAGAAATATTCATTGTTAATTTAGATTAAATGACAAGTAATGTGTAATTTTCTTTAAAGAAAGTTAAAAGATATATAAGTATATTTACCACAATCAGATGGTCCTCCTTTTGGCACACTGAAGAAACCTGGACAAGAAAATTTGGGTTTTGTACTCTTCCTAGCATCCACCAGAAAAATAATAATTAAATATTCTTACATAAAATGGGGATTGAATGGAACTATATATATGAGGTGATGTAATATTTAAAATATTGGCCTTCCATTTTTCACCTTCTTCAGTGAGGAACATGTATGGAATATTTATCGCTTTATCAATATGTCCTCTGTTAAACTCTTCAACTGTCCTGTAAACCCCAGCAGAGAGATAGAAAAGAACAGAGCCTTTATTACCAGGAAATATTGAAATAATGATGTAAAATTAAATTAGAAGAAATTATCAAGATTTGCTAAAATAATTAAAAATTGGTTTAATTTTATTAGATTTCTTATGGTAATTAAAGACTTTTCAATTCCTCACCTCACATCTAAGTAACGGTGACCTGAGGATAGCAGATCCTTGGCACTAATCACATCAACGTGGGAAACATCTTCATTGCTGCCCACCAAAGAAAAATGAAATAAATGCTAAAATTATAGTACATAAATTAGAACACCACAAAGCAAAAAACAAAAAGAGAAAAAAGAGAAACTAAATTTTACTTTCATTTTAAAAGAACCCTCTACAAGATTTTTGATTTGAACATCTTAAAAGAAAAACAATGACTAATATGATTCACGTTGGAGTTGGACGAATTAAAAGTTAAATATAATGATTGAAATAGCAAAGAGAGATCTAGATGTAAGTTAGCATAAAAGACATGAAAAGAATCCAAAATAACGAGACAAAGAAATATTAAGTAACGATTAAGAAGAAACATTAGAATTTGGGTTACCTCTTTATCGAATCCATTTATGCTTATTACAGTTGTAGGAATTGAAGTAGATCTCTTCGAACTTGATTTGGGGCAACCAAGTAGTTATTTTTTTGGTTTTATAGTAGCTCATTGTATGTTTGGGCGTTGACCTTCTTCTTATTGTTACGAGAATAATGATAAAAAAAATTAAATAAGCTTATAGTTAATTGCTTGGTTCCTGCGTTGTTTCTTTTAAATAATTGTGGTGTTACTTCGCTCATAAAGACTTAAACAAATGAGAAAAAATTAGCTAATATTTTTGTCTGGCCTGAAATCTAAACGTAAATACTCATGTATTTCAACTTATTTTTATGATCATTAAGTCATACAACTCGTCGAGGTAATAAAAGATATTTCTTCCAAAATTGAACATGGCAGGCAAGTCACGTCAATCACTCAAATCCGTTGACTTTGATTTATTCACAAAGCAGCTTAATTGGAGTAACAGTTTCGCTTAGTAAGAAGAAAAGTAGCACTATATATTTAATTTCAACATCTATCCAACAAAATAATCAATTACTTCTACGAAAGGGATGCTAGTTTTTATCGTTTTTTTTGGTCAAATGATTTTGTGGTCTATTACAAATTTGTTTTAGTTTTATAACATCATCTTTTTTTTTTTTTTTTTTTTTTTTTTACATATAAGAGCTTTATTTTTACACATAAGAGATCTATCTTTTACACATAAGATATTCAAAAAGACACTTTCTTAATTTCAACATTGTAAAAAGCGACGGAGTGCCTTCGTTTTTATTTAGGTGTTTGACAGGAAACGCATGTGATCTGCTAAGCAAGAGTGGGTTACACGTTAATCTCAACAACTACGCTAATTATTATTGCTTAATAAGCTGAAATTCTTTGTCGAATCTATGAGAGAAATTGCTGAGTTCAATCAGTAATATATTGTGTTGATAATTATATGTACATGTTCATGTATCTTATAACTTCTAGTTGTGTAAATGGTTTTGTGAAAATGGAATCTTTTGAAACAACGCATATTAAATATTTTTAAATATTTTATTCATCATTCAAGTCGATCAATATATATGTATACGGTCAAAATCGAGTTTGCCTTTCGTGTGATTAGTCAAGATTGGAGTATGACGGTCCGAGTGTCGTCGTTATAATATCGAGTTATGATGTGAAGTTGGGATATCGAGCTCGAGATCCAGAGACCGATCGAGCTCGAGTCAAGGTTGAGCTCGAGATCCAGAAACCGATCAATACCGAGCTCGAGTCAAGGTCGAGCTTGAGACCCAGAGACCGACCAATACCGAGACCGATCAAAATCAAGATCGAGCCAAGAGACAAAGAGTTGTTGTAGCCGCACTAGGAAAGAGAATCTCGGCGGAAATCAAGGAAAAGCTAATTAATTATTCTATCATGGGATCCCTACTATATATTTTTAATTGTATCCAAAGTAGGATTCCTCCACTATATTAAAAGTGGCTATCATTTGTGTAAGGGGAGATTGGAGATAGACTTTCATACACTCTCACATTTCAGAGATCATTAAGATTTACACACATATAATAAATATTATCCTTTTTGGGCTTTGGACATTGGTTCATCTTGTTCATTTATAAATTATTCTCTACTCATTTTTTTTTGTTTCTCTGCTCAATTTGGGTTTATATTTCATTCTTTTTTTACAGTCAATATTCGATATATTTCTACTTATTTTTCCAATTTGTACCAAGTTATATCATGTATCCTTAGAACTACATATAAATTCAACTCTCTCCGTTTTTCGGGTAAACACTTTGGCGCCCGCCGTGGGGATAAGGATAATAGTGGTTATTTGATACAAATCTCTGCAAAACACACTATTTTATACTTGCTCTTGTAAGTGTCTTTGATTTCAGGTTAAAAATGACGAACTCTCAATCAATGGCTCTACCTATCGACAACGAAGCTGATCTTCAAGATGAGAACAACAACCTGACGATCGGGGATGAAAGGCCACTCGTCGATTCCGTTGGAGCTCGGGCCATAGATCCAATTGACGATAATTCGCATGTGGCCATCAAGGCGAACCCGCGTTCCGACCAAGAAAATAGCATTTATGGTGGAGCTCGATCTGCAGTTCGAAATACCCAAAATGTTGGAGAAGATCAACCTGCGTATGATTTTCGAAATGTTGCAAGCTCAACAGGTAGTGATAGCTCAGTTACAGAGCCAAACCCAGGAACCGAGCAGGGCCGAGCCCGGTCCACCCCGAAAAGTCACCCACGAAACGGGGCCAGCTGTAGTAAGATCAAATGAACAAGAATAGGGGACTAATCCCGAAATTATTAAGATGTTAGAGGAACTGACAAAACGAATTGAGTCAGGAGAAAAGAGAATTGAAGCAAATGACAAAAAAATAGAAACTTATAACTCCAGGGTTGATCAGATCGCGGGGGCACCACCGGTATTGAAGGGCTTGGATTCCAAAAAATTCGTACAAAAGCCTTTCCCCCCGAGCGCGGCTCCTAAACCGATCCCCAAGAAGTTTCGCATGGCCAAAATTCCTAAATATAATGGAACGACCGACCCCAACGAACATGTCACATCTTACACATGTGCCATTAAAGGGAACGATCTAGAAGACGACGAGGTCGAATCCGTACTAGTGAAGAAGTTTAGGGAAACCCTGTCAAAGGGGGCAATGATATGGTATCATAATTTATCGTCTAACTCTATCAATTCTTTTGCTATGCTTGCAGATTCTTTCATAAAAGCACACGCCGGAGCCATAAAGGTCGAGACTAGGAAGTCGAACCTTTTCAAGGTAAGGCAAAAAGACAACGAGATGCTAAGAGAGTTCGTATCTCGTTTCCAAACAGAACGAATGGATCTACCACCGATCACGGACGATTGGGCTGTACAAGCTTTCACTCAAGAACTGAACGAACGAAGCTCGATGGCTTCACGATAGTTGAAGTAGAATTTGATCGAGTACCCGGCTATTACCTGGGCCGATGTACACAATCTATATCAATCGAAGATCAGAGTTGAAGACGACCAGTTGGGTTATGGGTCCGTTATTAAAAGGGACATCGACCAAGAACCAAGGTCGAACAAGGACCGATATCGGCCATATAACGGAGATCGTAAGGGTAGCGAACCTACACGCAACTCCGTACAAAGAGAAAAGAGAAGTGATCGAGGCCAAGGGTCTCGAGGGGCTGATGAACAGGAATGGGTTCGACAGGCATACCGACCTAAGGAAGCACCACGGTTATCAGAATATAACTTCAACATCGATGCATCCGCCATCGTGTCGGCTATCGGACGCATCAAAGATACTAAGTGGCCTCGACCTCTGTAGTCCGATCCAGCCTAGAGAAACCCCAATCAAATGTGCAAGTATCATGGCACCCATGGCTACATAACCGAAGACTGCAGGCACTTGAGAGAGGAGGTAACCTGTTTATTCAATGAAGGGCACCTTCGAGAATTTTTAAGTGACCGGGCCAAAAACCATTTCAAAAATAGAGATTTAATTAGACAAAATGAACAAGAAGAGCCACAACACATCATCTACATGATCATCGGAGGGATCGATGTCCCCCAGGGGCCGGTGCTTAAACGCACTAAGATGTCTATTGTAAGAGAGAAGAGATCTCGGACTTAGGATTACACACCTAAAAGAACCTTGTCCTTTAGTCACGAAGACGCAAAAGGAATCATGCAACCCCATAACGATACACTGGTAATATCTGTACTTATGAATAAAACTCAAGTTAAGCGTGTGTTAATTGATCCAGGTAGTTCTGCCAACATCATTCGATCAAGGGTCGTAGAGCAACTCGGTCTACAGGACCAGGTCGTACCCGCTACCCTGGTACTGAACGGATTTAATATGGCGTGTGAAACTACTAAGGGCGAGATAATCTTGCTAGTAAACGTGGTCGGGATCATCCAAGAAACGAAGTTCCACGTAATCGAGGGCGATATGAGATATAACGCCCTATTCGGGAGGCCATGGATCCACAACATGAGAGCAGTGCCCTCAACCCTTCACCAGGTTCTGAAATTCCCAACATCGGAGGGAATCAAAATAGTCTGCGGGGAGCAACCAGCCGCAAAAGCAATGTTTGCCTTCGATGAAGTGATTCTGATATCCTCACTGTCATCGACAAAGGGATCAGATTCGAAGGAGGAACGGGATACCAAATAGCAATCACAAACGTCAGCCTCGACCCAACTAGAGAATCAGAAGACTGACGAAGATGATGACTATGGGGTCCCTCGATCCTTTGTGGTCCCCGATGATTCCGACGCTACCCAATCAACTATCGAAGAACTGAAGCAAATCACGCTGATCGAACATCTGCCCAAGTGAAAGGTATACCTAGGCACGGGGTTAGATCCCGAGCTCAGGAAAAAGCTTATTCAATTTCTTATAGCTAACATGAACTGTTTCGCATGGTCCCATCTTGACATGACAGGGATCCCACCGGAAATAAGCACTCATAGATTGATCTTGGATCCGAAATTCCATCTGGTAAAGCAAAAATGAAGGCCCCAGTCCGAGGTCAAACATGCCTTCATCAAGGACGAGGTAACCAAACTTCTTAAAATAGGATCCATTCAAGAAGTAAAATATCCCGAATGGCTAGCAAATGTGGTGGTAGTCCCTAAGAAGGGAAACAAACTTAGAATGTGTATAGATTATAAATACCTGAACAAAGCATGCCCTAAGGATTCCTTTTCTTTGCCTAGCATCGATCGTATGATCGATGCCACGGCCGGCCAAAAGACTCTCAGTTTTCTCGATGCCTACTCTGGGTACAACCAGATACAGATGAACCCGGAGGATCAGGAAAATACCTCGTTTATCACTAAGTATGGTACCTACTGTTATAACGTAATGCCATTTGGTCTAAAAAATGCTGGTGCAACTTATCAAAGCCTAGTAAATTGAATGTTTGAAAACCAGATAGGAAAATCAATGGAAGTTAATATTGATGACATGTTAGTTAAGTCCCTGCGAGAAGAGGACCATTTAAAGCATTTGCAGGAAACTTTCAACATACTAAAGAAGTACAATATGAAGCTCAACCCCGAAAAATGTGCATTCGGGGTTGGCTCGTGCAAGATTCT